TCTAAGGAATCAGAAGCCAAATTTAACAAATGAGGTAGTTCATCTCGTCCCGCAGAAACGCAGCTTTGTGTTTCCTTGTACAAAACATCAAGTCCCTGTCTGTGTCTGTGTGTGCAGCTCGAGGTGCAGCACAGCCTGGCTGGACACGTTTGCCCTTTGACTGCAGGGAGAGGTTCAGAGTCACCTTCAGTGTGCTCAGCCAGGGACATCAGCACTGAGACTCCTCCTGCTGCAGCTCTGGAGCATCCCTGACCAGGACATCCCTGACCAGGGCATCCCTGGCCAGGGCATCCCTGACCAGGGCATCCCTGTCCAGAGCATCCCTGGCCAGGGCATCCCTGACCAGGGCATCCCTGTCCAGAGCATCCCTGACCAGGACATCCCTGACCAGGGCATCCCTGGCCAGGGCATCCCTGTCAGGGGCATCCCTGTCCAAAGCATCCCTGACCAGGGCATCCCTCTCCAAATCCCACCTTGACCCCGTGCCCGTTTTGGGTTCAGAGCAGCTTAAGGCAGAACAGCACATATTTTGGTAAGGTCTGAGGCAGCCAGACTGCACCAGTCTGACTTTGATTGACGGCTGTGTTGAGATCCTGAGGATTTTTAACTACCTGAATAGACAGCGTGTTTGTTATTTTATTTTCTGTGTCTGTACTGTAGTGCACGAAAAATTCCCTTCATATATATTCCTCACCCTCTTACTGTCCTGAGACCCTGGGATTCCCCAGCAGGGACCTGTTGGAGTGAGTCCAGAGGTCACAAAGGTGTTCCAAGGGCTGGAGCACCTCTGCTATGGAGACAGGCTGAAAGAGCTGGGGTTGTTCAGCCTCTGGAAGGCTCTGAGGAAACTTCACCACCTTTTCCAGTCCCTAATGAGCCTAGAAAAAAGCTGGAGAAGGACTTTGGACAAAGACATGGAGTGAGAGGACCAGGGCTAGTGACATCAGACTAAAAGAGGGCACATTTATATTAAATTTTAGGGAGAAATTCTTCCCTGTGAGGGTGGTGAGGCACTGGAGCAGGTTGCCCAGGGAAGCTGAGGATGGTCCAGCCCTGGAAGTGTTTAATGCCAGTTTAGATGGGGCTCTGAGCAACCTGGGATATTGGAAGGTGTCCCTGCCCATGGCAGCGGGGTTGGAAGTGGATGATCCTTAAGTTCCCTTCCAACCCAAACCATTTTATAATTCTACACTAAAAAAACATTAATTTCTTTTTAAAATGCCAACCAGCAGCTCGGAGATTCAACATTCACATTACTTAACATTTAATTTAAAACTACTAAACCAACTGTCTCAGCATCCTGCTACGAAAATCTGAAATTAAACTGTGATTGAAATTGTCATTATAAGCCTGATCATCAAGTGAAAGTTATTCAACAAAAGAGAGACATTTCAGCAAGCAGCTGACAGAATGACTCTGCCAGGCACCACAAGGAAAAGAAAGGTACTCATTGTGATAATCCTTCAGTGATTAAGATCTGTCACTGTAGCCAGCACAGAACTAAGTGTGTAATCCTTCATGTTACTTTTAAAAAGAAAAATCAAAGAGGAAAAATAAAATCAACCACAAAGTAAATAAATATCCCAGGCCCCCATGGCTTCATTCATTCTTGTCCTCAGGAACATCAGTTAGCAATGTTGTCATCTGTTTGCCTGTTTAAAAGACAAAACAAAACAGAAAACAACAGCTCAGGTTCTGTCTTAACAATCACTTGGATGCTTCCCAATAAAACAGCTTAGTTATCATGCAAGTCACATTTATTTATTTATTTTTTTAAATGTAAAATCACATTTCAGGATGTGGGGCCTTAAAATGTATGGAAAAACTCCAGATATTTTACCTGCATATTTTTATAAATCCAGTCTGTAAACACAGTCATATTCCCGTACACTCCAGGTTTGTTGGGAGTGGCACAGCCAGTGCCCCAGCTGGTATCTCCAACCAGCCACCACACAGAGTGGTGGTGAGTCACCAGAGGACCTCCACTGTCACCCTGCCCGGGACACAAACACCTTGTTAGTGACACAGCCACCAGGAAAAGCACCACACATTTCACTCCAGGAACACAGATTTAGTATCAATATAAACCTACCTGCCATTTAGGGAGCCACTAAAACAAGATATGGTGGCAATTTTCATGTTAAATGATGTCTGCTTCCAAGAGGGATGAAAATATTTTGCCCAGAGCCCTCTAAGTAAGATTTGCATTATTGACTTTCTTGCTCACTAGCACAACACTGTGGTTAACAATATAATAATGATAATAATATGGGGAGCATTTAATCACTTTCAAGTACCAGGTAAAAAACCATCCCTAAAGCATTAAAAAGCAGCCTCACCCCCTTGGGAATTTAATGAGAACTCAGCACTGGCAGCCATTCAGATGATGAAACAAAAGCTCTCCTCTTTAAAGGGATGCACCACCAAAATAACCAGAAGCCCAACCAGATATAATGTAAATTTTTAATTTTTAGGAGGGCATAGGATTTATTTGCAATAGAGAAATAGATAGATAGATAGATAGATAGATAGATAGATAGATAGATAGATAGATAAAAAGCCTACTAGCAAGGCCACAAAAATAATCAGATCATTTTTCATTTCATCTTTTATATAATTATTAGCTATTAATTAGGAATAATTACCTGACAGGAATCAATTCCCCCTGCTAGGTCTCCAGCACAGATCATTGTAGGCAGAATCATGCCATTGTAGATATAGACAGCATTACACCTTGAATGTTCTATTAAGGGCACTGCAACGTAATTCAAGCTGTTTGATGTTTTACCTAGAATTGAAATATGCACAAACGTGCAAAGACAAAACCAGAATCAGCATCACATTACTTTGCTGTTACAAAAAATCCCAGCAGCCAAGATGAAATAAACTTCCTAGAAGCAGTGGGATGGAAATTTAAGATGTAAGTCTACAAGAAGTCAAGAGAACCTCCCCCAGTACCTTTCTTATACAAAAAAAAAACCTTTTCCTCTTTCCAGTCTTGCAAATTTACTTCCACCATTCTCTTCAGCCTGAGGTGGTGGAAAGGAGCAGCTCCTGCCCTTTCCCACATCCACAGGACATGCTTGGCACACAGCAATACTTGCTGCAGGAGAGGTGGCCCTGCCAGCAGGGGCACAGAATTATCTCCTGGTTGGGAATTTCTGGCCCCCAGAACTGATCTGAGGGTTTTTTGCAGTCTGGCTGAGTGCAAAACCTCACAACTTGCTTTGAGACAGAACACCCTGGGGAAATACTGGGGGGCTATAAAACAGGTGAAAAAATAGTGTATGAACAGATCTAATTCAAACTGCCCCATCAGCTCATGCAACAATATTCTTAGGATGAAGAGGACTAGTTTATGTGAAAGATCAAAATATTCCAGAGGCACTTTTTACCTCCTTGGTGCTCTGCTCCCCACCCTGATATCCAGCACTGCTGGTTAGGTTGGAACATCATTCCTGGATTGGGCAGACAAACTGGCCTCACACTTTCTGCAAAACAAACAGAAAATAGATGTTCAGACAGAACTCAAGATTTAAATGGCCACCACTTACACACCATGCATTCTCTCTGTATTTTACATTCCTTGCAGGCAGTCAATGCAGGAAGCAGCACAAGGTTTACCAGCTGCCCTTTCCCTGAGGGGTACCTCATCTCCACCTCAAATCTACCTCATCTCCACCTCAAATCCACCTCATCCCCACCTCAAATCTA